CCGGGGGGGGGGGGGGCGGTATCTAAGATAGGATTATTGGACAAAAAACGGGTTTGTGGCTGCATGGAGGTTTGAATTTATCTAACTATATTCATCTCCTCTTCCTCTTAGAAAGAGGAACATATGTGGCCCCCCCCTCATTTTATTGCCACAACAACCCTGGGAAGTGGGCCAGGCTGAAAGAGAATGAGTTAGGGCTGCATGGGAATCCAAACCTGGGTCTCTTCTAACTCAAGTACAGGCATCTTTTTAGGCCCAAGTGCCAACCAACCTGCTGCAGTGTCTATTCGGGGAGGGACCGTGGCTCACTGGTAGAGAATCTGCTTTGCGTGCAGAAGATCCCAGGTTCAAACCCTGGCATTTCCAGTTAAAAGGACCAGGCAGGAGGTGATTTGGAAGACCTCAGCCTGAGACCCTGGAGAGCCGCTGCCAGTCTGAGTAGACAATACTGACCTTGATGAACCAAGGGTCTGATTCAGTATAAGGCAGCTTCATGTGTTCATCTGTGAAGATTTTCCTGTGTCAACAAACATAAGGCGGAGGAGGAAGATGCAAGGGTTGTCCAAATGCCCTGGGAACCTGCTGTGCCCCAAGGGCACCATCAGACCTCAAGGCCTCGCTCCATTTCTTTGGGCAGAGAGGCAGCCTGTGTACTGCTCAAAATGGTTTGGCCTGCTGCTTCTTTGGCCCGTGTGCCGTGTGCTCCATCCGTTGGATCACAGGCAGAATGGAAATTCTGATGCTGGAAATTAAATGCGCAGGCTAAAAGCAGAGTTGATGTAAACAAGCAAAATCCGTAATCACGTCAAGGTAGGAGGCAGCCCAATGTTTCATTCAAAAATACAGCAACCTATCAATCATATGTGGTCTTTCTGTGCCAGGGTATGATGATGTGCTTTCCTTTTAATTGTACTTCTGGTGTTTTCCCTGGCGGGATCCTTAAGCACTTTGCAAATACAAGGAATTAATCCTTTCAATACCCAGGAGCGAATGTTAAAATTACAAAGGTAACAATTACCTTTGTCTAGCAGAGGAACTGCATGAAAAAGAGCACGTTCTCCTGTACATGTGACATCTATACAAACAGCGTGGATACCAGCTGGTGCTTGACTTTAATGCAGAAGGCTTTTATTTTTATAATGTATTTTTTATTTTAAAAAGTAATAAGGGTACAGAAAAAAGGGATAAATAGGGAATAGAAATGAAAGTAATTATATAGGAATATTTACATTAATCAAGGACATTCATATTATATGTAGTACATTACACAAATAAAATAAGTACTAAGGTACTTCATTTCTCAATTCCCCTTTTACAGTTTTAGCATAGTAATTACAGCATCATCAACAAAGAAATATGAGGAACAGTTAAGTAGAAATAAGATTCTTTAAATCTTTCAACTGTACACCGTATATGTAATCTTATTATCGATGAAAACTAATTATATAATAGTTCCAGTATGAATATTAATAAAAAATAATTTCCAAGCATTAAATTTGATTTTAATATAACACTGATCATACTTTGCTCTGTGAATCTGGATCATACAAACTATATGAAAAGGATAACAAACTTGTTAGACAAGAAATATTGAATGTATACTAAAAATGAGTATTTTCTCCTGCCTTTCCCCAGTTATTTAACTGCATCAAAGAGTTTGGGCCTTGTATAACATTTATGCATAGATCTTTATGATTTATATCTCCCTCTTCAATTATGCCCATAAGATGAATAATAAGCTTTCCATTTGTCCTGGAATTCTTTAGTCGGTCCTTTGTTTATGTAACTTGTTAGCAGGGCTATTTTTGGGCAGGAACGCACAGGAACGGAGTTCCGGCTGGCTCCCGAGTTGGCCACGCCCAGCAGGAACTCATTAGCATAACAGGCCACACCCAATAGCAGAAACTCATTAGGATTGGCTACATTAGGGGTGTGTGGCCTAACATGCAAAGGAGTTTAAAAAGCCCTGGGTTTTGACAACAAACAAGGTAAATAGAATAAGAAGGGAAAGGTGGGTGTGGCTGGATGAGCACACTTCTGGTAACATGGTGGTGTGGCCTAATATGCTAATGAGTTCTTGCTGTTTGGTATGGCCTATTGTGCTAATGAGTTCCTGCTGGGCTTTTTCTACAAAAAGAGCCCTGCTTGTTAGTTTTGCCATCATTGCATACTCAGCTAATTTGTCTTTCCAAGTCTCTCTAGCAGGAGCAGCGCGCCCATTACCAGCGTCCTGACAGCGAGAGCGTTGATGCGGATGATGACGTCAACGTGGTAAAGGCGGGAGCGGACCAGCAGACCCCAATGAAGTCTGCATTGAGTAAGTCGTGTTCCGGATGTGGCGGGAACCACCACCGTGACCAGTGCTGGGCCAAAGATGTCGAGTGCCGAGCATGTGGGCGGCGAGGCCATTTGGCCAGAGTCTGCAGGTCAGCACGCAAGACTTCACCACCCCTCACCAGGAGGAAACAGCGATCCCAAGCAACCGAGGCAAACTCCCAGATGACATCAAACCTGAATGAATGAATTTTATTGTTACAGCGCA